TTGGATCTGTTCAGACTCTGATTTCACCTCTGTGTACAAAAACCATCACTGATAATCGATCAGTGTTGCACACATGGCATCAAAAAAAAACAAACAAACATACAATGTAAAAATCAGTAAACAAGTCTTCTGCATTAATAATGTATTTTGCATGTTCATGAGCAACTTATTTTGTGCAGTGCAAAAGCAGTATAAAAGTCACACCAAATGATGTAGTATACTCATCAGACTTACCTTGTAATATGCTGAAAGCAATGCTTAAAACTGTAAGGGCACGCAACACTTTAGCCATGTTGTTGCAGCTGCAGCAATGAAACAGCTCGTCAGCAGGACAGGAAGCATACTCTTAACAGGATGTGGACATTAGCAGGTGTGCACACAGCAAATCTGCACACGCTGAATGAAAATACTGTTATAACGTAAAGGTGAATGTATATATTATGTGAATATGTATATCTTAGAGAAGTATTGCAAAAAAAAAAAAAAAACCGCAAACAAAGAAATAAACAAACAATCCAGATGACTGCTTATCAAAGTTGCACACACACTGCATTAAAACTTGCATGACAAACTCTTGGCAGTTTAGAAATGTTCTAGCATGTTTCCAGTAGAGGGCATAAACATAAAGGAAAAGCATTTATTCTCCTTACTGACTGTTTGCTAGCATGCAGCTTCCTCTCGACAAACTGGAGATGGAAGACTTTTTCTTTCTTTCTTTCTAGGACTTTCTAAGACTGCAAAAGATTTGTATCCAGGTATTAGAATAATGCTAATTTTTATGATTATGTTGGTTCTTCCAATTACTTTTGAGCCTGTGAAAATGGAAGGACTTTGTAAAAATGGCTGTCATTCCTAAACGGTTAAGGCAATATATATTTTTTAAATTAAACCCCTTGAATTAAAGCTGAAAGTCAACCCTTCAGTCTCATCTTATTTGCTTCATTTCAAATCCATTGTGGTGGTGTACAGAGGCAAAATTACGAAAACTGTGTTACTGTCCAAATACTTATGGACCTGACTGTATTTATAATTGCACTATCGAGTTTCACCCAGATGAGGATCGGTTCGTTTCGAGTCTGGTTCTTCATATCGTCTTAGTGTGTTTTTCCCTTATATTTATATATTCCTTTATATTTTCCTTTATTTATATCCTGAATTTATATATTTCTGGAAAGCTGTATTGTGACAATGTCCATTGTTAAAAGCGCTATACAAATAAAGTTGAATTGAATTGAATTGAATTGAATTGAAGTATGGAAAGTGTTAATTGAATGCATGTATGCACAGAATTCACTACAAGACTTCTACTGGACTCTCTCTCTTTCAATATAATTTTTTTTTAAGAAACCTAACTGAAACACTTAACTGGCAGAGAAATTATATAGATAATAGTTTTTGAATCTTTAATTTGGTGAACCCTCCATTAGGTCTTATTTATATAAACATTCAGTCAGTTAGCCTGGTGATGATGGGTAGGCTAATTAGATCCTTGCATCTTAATTCAAACCAAGTAATCACAAATGTAGATTTCAAAAATAGAAATTTAAGGATCTCATCTTTAATCCCTGTGAAATAAAAGCAAACCTCATGACCTACCTCAAAGTTGTCAAGATTTTTCGTTAAAGAACAAAAAGCAACAGTATCCTATGGGCTGGATGGACATTCTAGAGGGACCCTTTTGGAGCTGGTTCCATAGTGTAGTGGTTATCACGTCTGCTTTACACGCAGAAGGTCCTGGGTTCAAGCCCCAGTGGAACCATGTGTTTGAGATGCGCAACGTGACACGAGTAAGGGTGTGTGTTGCCGATAAGTGTGAGTAACAATGCCTCATGCGATACCCAAGATTTTCCTGCAATAATGAACAGTATCCTACAACATGAATGCCCATTTAACTCAGCCCTTCAAAAAAGTGGTTCCATAGTGTAGCAATCACATCTGCTTTATGCACAGAAGGTCCTGGGGTCAATCCCCAGTGGAACCATATTCTAGAGAATCCTAATGAAAAGCTATGTAAGGATGTGTGTTTATTGCCAGATTGTGATGGCTGGATATCTGAGTCAGGGCATCTCCAAAATGACAGGTCTTGTGGGGTGTTCGTGGTATGCAGTGGTTAGTACCTACCAGAAGTGGTCCAAGGAAGGACAACCAGTGAACCCGGCGACAGGGTCATGGGTGCCCAAGGCTCACTGATGCATTTGGGGAGGGAAAGCCAGCTTCTCTGGTCTGATCCCACAGAAGGGCTACTGTAGCACAGATTGCTGTAAAAGTTAATGCTGGCTATGATAGAAAGGCGTCGGAACACACGTTGCATTGCAGCTTGCTGCATATGGGGCTTTGTAGCTGCAGACTGGTCAGAGTTTCCATGCTGACCCCTGTCCACTGCTGAAAGCACCTACAATGGGCACATGAGCATCAGAACTGGGCCGTGGAGCAATGGAAGAAGGTGGCCTGGTCTGATGAATCCCATTTTCCTTTACATCATGTGGATGGACGGTGCATGTGCGTCTGGGGAAGAGATGGCCCCAGGATGCACTATGGGAAGAAGGCAAGCTAGCGGAGGCGGAGTGTGATGCTCTGGGCAATGTTCTGCTGGGAAACTTTGGGTCCTGGCATTCATGTGGATGTTACTTTGACACATATCACCTGGGTCCTGGGTCACCCAGTGGAACCACAAAATTGAGAAGCACAACAAAAAACAAGTTAGGCTGTGTATTTTTTGCGAGTAAGGTTAAGTAATGTATCTATTACACAAAGGAAGCTTGGTACAATAGTTACAGTTGCAAATTCAACTACAGGACCAACTACAGGACAACTACAGGACAACCTCACCTGCCTGTGACAGTGATGCCTCCCTCCCAGACGTGCTGAACGACTTCTACGCTCGGTTCGAGGCACAGAACGGCGTGACGGCGAGGAAGACCACCCCTCCTCCCAATGACCAGGTGCTGTGTCTAACCACGGCCGACGTGAGGAAGACTCTACACAGAGTCAACCCACGGAAGGCTGCTGGACCAGACAACATTCCTGGCAGGGTGCTCAGGGGATGTGCAGACCAGTTGGCAGATGTTTTCACGGACATCTTCAACACCTCCCTGTGCAGCACCGTTGTCTTGACCTGCTTCAAGGCCACCACCATCGTCCCCGTGCCAAAGAAATCTTCAGTGTCCTGCCTCAATGACTACTGTCCCGTTGCACTCACACCCATCATCATGAAGTGCTTCGAGAGGCTCGTCATGAGGCACATCAAGACCCTGCTGCCTCCCTCACTGGACCCCCTGCAATTCGCTTACCGCCCCAACCGCTCAACAGATGACGCCATCACCACCACCCTCCATCTGGCCCTCACCCATCTGGACAATAAAGACACTTATGTTAGAATGCTGTTCATAGACTTCAGTTCAGCATTCAACACAATCATTCCTCAGCACCTGATTGGAAAGCTGAACCTGCTGGGCCTGAACACCTCCCTCTGTAACTGGATCCTGGACTTCTTGACTGGGAGACCTCAGTCAGTCCGGATTGGGAACAGCATCTCCAACACCACCACACTGAGCACTGGGGCCCCACAGGGCTGTGTGCTCAGTCCACTGCTGTTCACTCTGCTGACTCACGACTGTGTAGCAATGCACAGCTCGAATCACATCATCAAGTCCGCCGATGACACGACCGTGGTGGGTCTCATCAGCAAGAACGACGAGTCAGCATACAGAGAGGAGGTGCAGCAGCTAACGGACTGGTGCAGAGCCAACAACCTGTCCCTGAATGTGGACAAAACTAAAGAGATGGTTGTTGACTTCAGAAGAGCACAGAGTGTCCACTCTCCGCTGAACATCGGCGGCTCCTCCTTGGAGATCGTCAAGAGCACCAAGTTTCTTGGTGTTCACCTGGCGGAGAACCTCACCTGGTCGCTCAACACCGGCTCCATAACAAAGAAAGCCCAGCAGCACCTGTACTTTCTGCAAAGGCTGAGGAAAGAACATCTCCCACCCTCCATCCTCACCATGTTCTACAGAGGGACTATCGAGAGCATCCTGTGCAGCTGCATCACTGCCTGGTTTGGGAATTGCACTGTCTCAGATCGCAAGACCCTGCAGCGGATAGTGAGGACAGCTGAGAAGATCATCGGGGTCTCTCTTCCCTCCATCATGGACATTTACACCTCACGCTGCATCCGCAAAGCCACCAGCATTGTGGATGACCCCACACACCCCTCTCACACACTCTTCACCCTCCTGCCGTCTGGTAAATGGTACCGGAGCATTCGGGCCCTCACAACCAGACTGTGTAACAGTTTCTTCCCTCATGCCATCAGACTCCTCAATACCTAGAACTGGCTGAAGGAACACACACACTCACACACACATACATATATATATATATATATACATATATACACACACACAACAGGACTGAAGGAACACACACACTCACACACACATATATATATACACACACACACAACTGAACATCCTCCATCCTCTATGCACATGTTTTACACATGGTTTGCACATATTTTATGCTGCTGATACTATTATGTTTACACTGTTTACACTACTTCAGCTATTTATATCAAACTCTGTAATATTTGCACTATTGTCACTAGGTCACTTTAAACAGAACTGCGTACTGGTCGGCGTTGTAGTCATTGTACTGTCTTGTTCTGTCTTGTGCTGTCTGCACATGTTTGCACTTGTGCACTTTATGTATAATTTATGTAGTCCCTGTACGTTTGTGTTGTTCTGTGTTTGTCTTATGTAGCACTTTGGTCCTGGAGAAACGTTGTTTCTTTTCACTATATACTTGTATATGGCTGAAATGACAATAAACTCCACTTGACTTGTCTTGACTTGACTTCAAGATCTCTATGTTGCAAAAATCAAACCCCCATGACCTTTATAATCTTTATGATCTTTATGATCATGATCTTTCTTAAAAAAAAAAAAAAAATCAACAGTAGCCTATTACATGTATGTGCAGTCCATATGGGTGTTCCTCTAATTGGTGCTATAGTGTAGTGATCATCATGTTTGCTTTACATACAGAAGTTCTGGGGTTCAAGCCCTTGTGCAACTTCACTGAATGGCAATGTCAAACGCTTTGTTAAGTTCAAAAATGTGCAGTGCTTACACTACCTAATGAAAAAAAAACAATGACTAGGCTTTTCTTGCCGTGTATTATATTATAATTATAATGCAGTGGCATATGAAATATTTTGAGGAAATAAATGCAAGATCCAAAATGACATCTAGACTATGAGATTTATTTGCTCAAATACATTTACAGTGACACAGATCTGTAAAATCTCTGACAAAGCTCATCTTTAACCTCTGTGAAATAAAAGCGAACCCCTTTCATGGCTGGTTCCATAGTGTGGTGGTTATCACATCTGCTTTACATGCAGAAGATCCTGGGTTCAAGCCCCAGTGGGACCATGTGTTTGAGATGCGCAACATAACAAGAGTAAGGTTGTGTATGGGTAGCAAAGCCTCATGTGATACCCCTGACTTTCCTGCAATAATGAACAGTATCCTATGACATGAATGCCCATTTAACTCAACCAGCCAAACAAGTGGTTCCATAGTGTAGTAGTCATCATGTCTGCTTTATGTGGAGAAGGTCCTGGATTCAATTCCCAGTAAAACCATATTTTAGAGAATCCCAATGAAAAGCTATGTAACGATGTGTGTTTATTGCCAGTAAGTCATTACAGTTGAACTACCATAGAAAGGAAGCTTGGTACAAGCTTTGACACAAGCAAACCCCATGACCTACCTCAAAGTTGTCAAGATCCTATGGGCTGGATGGACATTCTACAACCCTAAGCTTATGGCAGGTTCCATAGTGTAGTGGTTATCATGTCTGCTTTACACGCAGAAGGCCCTGGGTTCGAGCCCCAGTGGAACCATGTTTTTGAGATGCGCAACATAACACGAGTAAGGGGGTGTGTGTCGACAATAAGTGTGAGTAACAAAGCCTCATGAGATACCCAACCATTCAGTATTTTCAAGCTTTTCCTGCAGTAATGAACAGTATCCTACGACATGAATGCCCATTTAACTCCCTCTTGCTGGCAAGTGGTTCTATAGTGTAGTGGTTATCCTGTCTACTTTGCACATGAAATGTCCTGGTTTCAAGGCTCAGCGGAACCATGTGCTTGAGATGTGCACCAGTGAGTAGGGTTGTGTTCTCTGTCAAAAAGAGTGAGTAGCAAAACCTCTTAACATTTTCAAGATATTCCCTCATTAATGAACAGTATCCTATGACATTAATGTCCATTTAACTCAGCCAGTGCAGCAAGTAGTTCCATAGTATAGTGGTCATTGCTTCTGCTTTACCTAAGGTCTTGGGCTCACGCCCCAGTGGAACCATGTATTTGAAATGTGCACCAATGTGTAAGGTTGTGTTCATCATCAAAAGTGTGAGTAACAAAACCTTTCAAGACTTTTCCTCAATAATGAACAGTATCCTACAACATGAATGCCCATTTA